GCAAGAAGGTCGGCGGCATCGACATCGGCCAGAAGCTCACCATGATGTTCTACGAGCGCAGGTTCGAGGGTGACCGGAACCCCATCAAGACCAATTGGGGCATGCACGAGTTCACCAAGATCATTGATGACTCCAAAAACCAAAAACCAGGTAGTCCTTGTTAATTTAATTGAAATTTAAATTTAAATCAATCTGCATTACGTTGCAATCTACTTTCACCATTTTATATTATAAGTCATTTGGACATTTTTTTTTCAAGTTAAACTCTCTAAGTTTAATAAAATTTATAAAAATTAACAACTTCTACAATATAAAATCAGTTTCATTAAATATAAACATTGGATATATATTGATAATATGCTTGTTTAATGTTAATTATTGTTATGTTTTGGTTAAACTTATAAAGTTATACTTACAAAAAGAAAAAGTCAAGATCAACTTGTATATAATATAAAATAGAGAGAGTATATTTAAACATTGTGTTTTGTTCGTCTTGTAATTAACTGATTGATGCTCAAGTGGATTGATCGATTTTGTTGTTTGAGTTTGAATTTTGGATACAATTTGTGCTAATTTGGGCTGATCAATTTCTGTGGATTTTGCCAAGCTTGAGGACCTTGCCGTGTACCACTTGTAGAAGATAAAAGGAAGGAGGACGAAGAGAATCGGTGAACGCTGCCTCCGCGGCGTCGACGAGCCCTCCACGTCGTCGGCACTGCCACCTCCTACGCCACCGCGGCCATTGCCGGACATGGCCGGACCGTCGTCAGCAACGCCGCTACTGCCACTGCAATTGCCGGACATGGCCGGACAGTCGTCAGCAACGCCGCTACTGCCACTGCAATTGCTGGGCTTGGCCGGATCGTCGTCGGCGATGTCGCTGCCTGTACTGCAGCTGCCGGGCATGGCCGGGTCGTCGTCGGCGATTGCCGGGCCTGGCTGGAGAGATGATGTCCATGGCGGACCAGGCGAACATGGCCTCGACGTCGCAGGCGTCCACACCGTCGTCGGAGCTCCTGCAAGACTGGTACGACGAGTTCGAGATCACGTACGGCGCCGTGACGCCGCCGTCTCCTAGCACGATCAGCTGGGAGGCGCCGCAGAGCTCGCCGATGGGGTGGTGGCCGTCACCGAACGGCGGGCTGGTGCAGCACGACGGCTACCTCAGGATGGCGGCGGATCCAACGTGGTACATGCTAGAACACCTGTTGCCCACCGCGGCGATCCCGCCGGAACCGATGACGCCGAAGAAGAGCTCGCCGGCGCCACCACCAGCCGTCGACCACCACCACCGGCTCTCGCCTCCGCATGACGCCGCCGGCTACAACGGCGGCATCCAGGCGCAGCACGAGAATCAGCATCATCCGCAGGAGCCGCAGCCGGCATTGCTGGTGGATGGCGAGGACGGCTACGGCGCCATGGCCGACAGCAACGACACACAGCTGGGCGGCACGGAGTTTGACACCGAACGAATCGCCGAAATGGTAAAAGTTCAAATTCGAGGATAACACCGTCCTTAAGTACAACGAAGTCTTTCCTGACGACGACGAGGTGGTGGCGGCGCCGATGATGATCGACAGCGGTGCGATGGTGCAGAGGGATGTGATGGAGACGACCCATTCGACAATTAGGGCCCTCGTTCGAAAACCGCTGGAATTTCAAGTTTCCCTGGCTATAAATTCTTTGTCTTCAAATTTTACTCGATTTTGTAAGTTAATGTTCATATTTACTATTTGCTCCATGTTTTTAGTTTCGTATAGACCTTTGGTAATTTTACTATTTCACTAAGAACATGTACAATAAAGGGCGGTAGGAGGTCCACATAGGATTTTTTGTTGAGCTGGAAAAATGAGAGGAAAAGAGAGAATGGGCAGGCGACTAATTAACCACCTGGCTACACGCGCGACCCGAGGTGTGGGCCCGTAATGCTACCATCGCTACCAGTTCTCGTTCCTCTGCGCGTCTTTCTGCGTCACCATCGTCGCCATCTTCCGTGGCCGCCATCGTCCCACCACCCTCATCCACGGCCGTGGCGGCCACCGTCCTCATCCTCGTCCGCCATCACCATCTTCCGCGGTCGTTCTCGTCCTTGGTTGCTACCGACGTTGCCCGCGGCCATCCCACCACCCTCGCCTGCAGTCGCCATCCTCGTCCTTCGCGTCCACAACCATTGCTTGCATTCGTCCCGCCGTCCTCATCCTCCGCACGGCAGGGTACATTCATCCCACATCCACACCCGTGTCCGCCACGGTCGTTGTCCTCATCCACTACGACCGCCGTTGTCGTCCGCGGCCGTCCGGCCATCCTCGCCTGTGGTCGACGTCCTTGTCCCTCACATCCGTCCTGCCATCCTCGCTCGTATCCGTTGCCGTTGCTCGCTTCCATCCCACTGTCCTCGTCCTCCGCGGCGGAGGCCCACGTCCGTCCCACCGTCCACACCCGTGTTCGTCGTCCTCGTCCACCGCAGCCGTCGTCGTCGCCCTTGCCCTTGTCCACAGCGGCCGCCACCTTCGTCTGCATCCACCGTAGTGACATACACGCCATCACCTGTGTCCGCCGCAGCCGCCGCCCTCGCCATTGTCCGTGTCCGCCCATGTCCGTTGCCTGCATCCGCGCAAGGTTGGGAAAAAGAAAGAGAAGAGGAGAAGATGTGGGCCCATAAAAACAATAGAATATTTATGTTACATTAAGCATAGGATATCTCTATTGTATACCTTAGTTATAACGCTAACTACAAGTGACGTGTTCACCTATTATATTGCAGCCAACAACGGGCTTTCTTATCAGTCAATACATTGTTCTTAGGATACTCCTGGCCTCTGCACCACAACAGTACAAGTTATGTGTTGCTCTAGAGAGGGTATAGATTATTAACAAAATTCCATCAAAAAAGAAGCGACCTTGAAATTCCGAATAAATATGCCCCTGAAAAGTGCTTTGCTTTCACCAATTTTAGGCCACAAATTAGCAAAGCAACATAATACAACCATTAGCATTCAGAAGTTCGTAGATGGAATACTCATCAAAGCTAGTAGTGCAATTCTCGCTATAACTTTGGTTATATAACTAGTTTGTCATACATCGACTCCGAAGAAATCATAGTTACGAAATTCTAGATTGGTAAGAGAGTGTTAATTGCTCAGCACTAATCATGTCAACATCTCTGTTGATGAAGTGAATAGACATGTGCCCAGCCATTCCAACCCCAGCTCGGTATGCAAATTAAACTACTCCCTCCTTTCCTAAATGTTTGACACCGTTGACTTTTTTTAAACATGTTTAACTGTTCGTTTTATTCAAAAACTTTTGTGATATGTGTAAAACTATATGTATACATAAAAATATATTTAACAATAAATCAAATGATAGAAAAAGAATTAACAATTACTTAAATTTTTTGAATAAGACGAACGGTCAAACATTTTTAAAAAAGTCAACGGCGTCAAACATTTTGGGATGGAGGTAGTATTACCATAGGCGGTTCTCAATTATGGTGGAAACAATATATTTCATTGTTGCCTGCAGAAGTAACAAAATTGTTTCATATACATACACGAGAATACTATTGATTCCAATGCAAAATAACGGGGTCTAACCTCAGAACACACTAATATGCACAGTACAATCGACCATGCTTGCTGATTTGGCAAGATTCAGGAGAAAAACATGGAGAATTACAGTCATATATGAAGGTAAGTTCAAATAATACCTGGGAATGATCCTTCAGACCAAGAGATATCATCAATGACCGTGCTGATGAGCCACTACCACTGCAACAAAGAATATTCCTTTAGTATGCGTCTGCAAGAAAATGGAGTGTGGTACAAGTGCCAAAGGACAGTTTACAATCAGAGCTGGACAATTTATGTAACTAACTTCAGCAACCCAAGTGTCACAATAATTGCGTGAAATAAAAAAAAATCATTGACAACAATTAAAAGGGCCATTGCTGGAGACATTTGCAACTAAATAATGAAATCCAAGAGCAGCTTAAATTTTGTGTGAATTTGAATGACATATACGAATCGATGAGAATAGTAGTGTCATTCATCCAAAATGACAGATTTGTAATGACATGGATCCAATTAACGCAGAAATTTAATGAATGCACCAAACGGGTAAGTACTAGCATATCTCAAAATAGCTCTCGAATTGTAATGATACAGGTCGTTTAATAGTAATGACATTTTTCGAAATGGGTAAAGCAATAATGGCATGGATCCACTAACCGAAAATTCGATTGGGTTGCATGCAGCCTGTTCGGACTAGAAGCAGGAACACTTGTTTTCCCACTTATCTTAACAATAATGATTTACATTATTGTTCTAAATAATAACGTGTAAATCCGAATTTTATTCAAATTTGGATTTTTTTTTTGGAACTCCTGGTTAGCATAGGCCCAAATTCAAGGCCCATCAGGCCCACGTGTCTGGCCATTAAAAAGAAGAAACGAAAGAAAGAAAGAAAAAGGAAAAAAAAAAGAAAGAAGAAAACTCTCTACCCACACGCCCTATATAGTCCCCTTCGCCGTTGGCGAGCGGCGGCTCTCTACCCGCCGGCCTGCCTCCACCACCGCCATCGCCATGGAACCAGGAGCGGCGTCGCGCGCGACCGAGCCGCCGCGGTCCCCATGAATCACCACCACCGCAAGGTCCACCCGCCCTTCTCTCCCTCCGCCCGTGGCGGCTGCGGCGGCGGCGGCGGCGGCGGCGAGCCCACCGTCAGTCTCACCTTCGTGATGATCTGCCAACGTCAGCCCAATCTCCATGGCTTACGCCGTTGTCCGCAACCCGATGCCCGATGGCGGCGAGTTCATGTATTGGATTAAAAAAAAATCAAAAACGTTCCCCTAAATTGAATTCGAATCAAATGACCGCCTCACTCCCACAAAAAGAAGAGAACATCTCGCGCCACCCCTCAAATACGCAGTCCTCGTCACACCACGCGCGAGCAGCCGGCGGATGGGGACGGCGGCGGCAGCGGTGGAAGCAACAACAACAATGGGAAGTTGAAGGGGAAGGAGAAGGTGGTGCCGGAGTACGGCAAGAACCGGCACGGCATGCCTGTCGGTTTCTACTTCGTCCCCATGGACCTAGAGCTTTTCGCCATCCTCATGTGCAAGCTCGTCCGAGGTGAGGTCCCCGGCGCCCTCAATAACGTCTTTGAGCATATCAGGATACTTGAATTCCACCCCGCCCTCCTCCGTGGTACGCCCGCTTCGCCGCCACCGTCACTCTACCCCTCTCTTGTTGTTTCCTTCGTCATTAGTATTTTAAATAGTGGGATAAGACATTTAGCGGTTGGGTTTCTCAAACAGCAATACCTATAGTGGGTTAAATGGAGTTATTACAGTTAAATTATACATAAAAGCAAATAGTTGGACCCTTCTTTTAACATTTATAACCGAAGAATAGCAGCAGCTATAACTGAGGATTTAAAACCATGTTCATCATTGTCTTCTTCTTCTCCGGCGATGGCGTGTGCAGAGACGTATATCGAGAACATGGAGGACAGATGCATCTACTTCTTTAGCAGGAGGCTATTCGCAGCGAAGGCTAGGAACAAGAGGCAGCCGATGAGGGTGGCAAACGGTGGGACGTGGAAGGCATCTGGTGGGAGCAAGACGGTGAGGAGCAAGAAGGTTGGCGGCATCGATGTTGGTCAGAAGCTCACCATGGTGTTCTACGAGCGTAGGTTCGAGGGCGACCAAAACCCTGTCAAGACCAACTGGGCCATGCACGAGTACACCAAGATCATTCCTAGCTCCAAAAACCAGGTAGTACTTGGTAATTTATATTTAAATTCAAATCAGTCCGCAAATACATTACATTACGATCTATATCTAAATAGGGTGTAGCTATATTTATGGCGTCATACTTTTTATAAAAAAATAGTCGGCATGTATTTATATTGTAAGTTCATAAATTACATATGTAATTTTAGTGTATTTACAATGTAAGTCTCAAAATTACATATGTAAGTACTAAAATTACATATGTAAATTCGAAAATTACATACTAATTGCATATGTAAGTGGGGTGTAAATGAGGTGTAACTACTGTGTAAGTGGCTGAAAAAAATCGACTATATTTCTAGCAACTCCGTCTAAATATTGTGTTTTGTCTTGTAATTAACATTCCATTATACGGCCTCCATTACATATTATAAGTCGATTTGACTTTTTCATAGTTAAACTTCAAGTTTATAGACAAATATAATAACATCTAAAACATCAAACTAGTTTCATTAAATCTAACATTAAATATATTTTGATAATATATATATTTTTGAAATACTACCATATTTTTTCTATAAATTTATTTAGTCAAACATTAAACTGAAAAAAGTTTAAATTAGAAAAAAATTAAAATGACTTATAATATAAAACGTATAAAATGGAGGGAGTATTCATGATCAAGCGGATTGATCGAATTCAATTTGTGCTAATTTGGCTTGATAAATTAATTTTGTGGATTTTGGACAAGCTTGAGGACCTTGCCGTGTACCGCCTGTACAAGATCAGAAGGAAGGAGGACACAGAGCCGGTGAACGCTGCCGCCGCGGCGTCGAGCACGGACAAGCCCTCCACGCCGGAGGCACTGCCACCGCCTACGCCACCGCCACGGCCATTGCTGAACATGGCCGGATCATCGTCGGCAACGTCGCTACTGCCACCGCAATTGCCAGGCCTGGCTGGGTCGTCGTCGACGATGCCGCTGGCACTGCCACTGCAGCTGCCTGGCCTGCCCGGGTCGTCGGCGGCGATGTCGCTCTGCCGGGCTTGGCTGGAGAGATGACGTCCATGGCGGACCAGGCGAACATGGCCTCGACGTCACAGGCGTCAGCACCGTCGTCGGAGCTCCCGCAGGACTGGTACGACGAGTACGAGGTCGCGTACGGTGCCGCGGCGCCGCCGTCTCCTAGCACGATCAGCTGCGCGGCGCTGCCGAGCTCGCCGACGGCGTGGTGGCCGTCATCGATCGGCGGGCCGGTGCAGCACGACGGCTACCTCGGGATGGCGGATCCTGCGTCGTGTAATACGTTGGAACACCTGTTGCCCAGCGCGGCGATCCCACCAGAGCCAATGGCGCCGCCGAAGAACTCGCCGGCGGCGCCACCACCGGCCGACGCCGGCGGCAACTACGACCACCCGGAGCTCGCCGACTACGGCGGCGGCGTCCAGGCGCAGCACGAGCATCATCAGCCGCAGGAGCTGACGGATGGCGCGGACGGCGACGCACAGCTAGAGCTAGGCGCCGCGGAGTTTGATTCCGAACGAGTAGCCGAAATGATATCCCAAATAATGGATGGTGAATTCGTGTTTAAATTTGAGGACGACACCATTGTTAGCTTCAACGAGGTGGCGGCGGCGCCGATGTTGATCGACGGCGGTGGGGACGGCGACGGCGATGGTGCAGATGGAGGTGTCGGAGATGATCCATTCGATAATTAGGCCACTGTGTTCGAAAACCGTTGGAATTTTCAGTTTTCCTAACTATAGAATTATGTCTTCAAATTTACTCCTTTTTTGTAAGTCAATGTTCATATTTATTTTTTTAGATAATGTTCATATTTATTATGGCTGCATGTTTTTAGTTCTGTTCAGACCATTGGTAATTGTACTTTACTATGCATGCGTAACTAATCGAGATCTACTGTTCATTCTGAATTGCTCGAGCATATGATTGCATTTTGGACAAGATGAATTGCCTCTCCGCGTCAGTCGAGTTAGAAGTACGAATAATCCATTTATGGGACATAGACAAAGGGGTTCATAGTCTATGCTAACGGTAGTTTTTCGATCTGTGGATGGTTGCTAATTGTTGTAAGTAGTGATGATTGGCAATTGCTCCACTGAAATGAAGCTTTGCAGCTTTCATGCTGTTGCTGACTTGCTGTTATTGATGCCATGCAAGTTAGTTAACCATTTGTCTAAACTTTTGAAACGCTGATTACTACCAGTATATCGAGATCAATTTTACGAAAATTGAAGGGCACTCGTATGGATTGTTAGTGCGTCAGAATTCACATACTCGAATTACAAAAATTACAAGCTTGATGAGTTAGGCTGCATCAGATGTACAGAGAACAAAGCCGAGAACTAATGCTACTGACTGCAAGAATAAAAGACAATATCCAGTATGCAGTGCAAACAAGCAGTCATAAATTCCAAATGGGCAACGGTAGCTGCTTCATTTTGTCAACCGAATATCAAGTTTCCAGCCGTCGTTGGGGTTTCTGAATAATCCATATTTCCTCCATTTGCACGATAACATCATATAAACTCACATGCCATCATCATTCATCAGCAACCGCCATGTGCAAAAGCTGTGAGCATCACAAGTCTGAAAAACACTGGTTTGCAGTTGGTAAACTAGCGTTGAAGGTCTCAAAGGCCGAATGCGATTCTCTGCACAAGATCTGGCCTTCTCTTGCTCGGCATCCGAAGAAGTCCGGTGATCTGTAGCTCGGTGACAGCTCTGCAAAACCTTGCTCTGGAACCAATGAGTCAAGGATTACCTGGATTTAATGATTACAAGAAATGCTGCCCTAGTATCTGTACAAATATATTTGTGGACGTTTAGTATATTAAATTGTAATAAAAAGGTTAGTTCAAGGATACTGGATCATGGCTTCACTCTCCGCAGCAACGGGTTTTGATTTCTTTTTCGAGGGAGATGTGTGCGGTTTCCTTTTGATTTTTGAATGCACGCTATTGATAATGCCATCGAAAGATATGTACCAGTCATGAAGGTTGATTACATCACCATATTCTTGGGCTAGATTGCACCTGCAAGATTAAAAAGGATAATACGTGTCAGCATAAAAATACATTAAAAAATGGGTTTAATGATCACATCAGGATAAAGGATGGTTAACATGGCATGCTATGTCAACAGAATGACGTCTGTTATTTTGAGCTTTAGATTCCAAACATTAGAACTTAGTATGCCAATTGATTAAGTTTTCACCATATGGCTATTTCCACCAGATGCGCCGCTCAATAAGAATACTTTCCAGGACTTACATAATTGATGTATCATGCATGGATGCCAACACAGCAATTCCATTCTTCCTGCAGCAAGAGCATTTAAGATGTTTGTGTGACTTGACTAGATCAAGCTGGACCATTCTTCTCGGATTTCCAATTAAAGCCTACAATGAGATGTGATAGAATTTAAAACAGTTAATTTGATAGTTATAGATTATTATGTAAGTAAGTAGTACATAATGGTACCGGCTTTCTTTCTGTAAAGGAAAAACTTACAGATTGAAGAATGCTAACATTCTTGAAACAGACGATTTCATGAAAAGGTAAACACTCAACAGAGACCAGAAATTTCCTGTTTGAAATATCTAGGCATTAGATGCTGAAAGAACTTTAAGTTATTGAAAAGCAAACAAAATAGAGAAAGATAATCCCAGTTCAATTGTACTAATCATCTGAATAAATAGATCTAGTAAGTTATATAAGATTAAAATAGTACTTAGTTGATTCAATCTTATAATAACATTTACCTGGTAACATCATCCAACAGCATAGCCACTTTATCATTCAGTGCTACTGTACTATTTCCAGTACTATTTGTTGATCTCCTGATATGCCATGAAAATGATTTTCAGCCAGTTTCAGATAATCGAAACTGAAAAATGCAGTACAGATTCGTCCACTAGAGATACTCAACCTCATTATGCTATTGCAACTTGTTTTGGCATTCTTAATATTTGTTTGGCTAATAAAATTTTTAAATGAAATATGGAATAAAGCAGGAAGTACCTAGGCCACTTATCCTTTGTGATCCTCACACTGTCTGTACTGATTGTGGTGGACTGAAGCTCTTTCACCTTGTTTGTTATCTGGGATTAGAATGAACACATTCTCAACTAGAGTCACACCACAGTTTTAAAAAGTACATTTAGTACACTAGGCTCTATGCCAGAAGCCTTCAACTGGTAAAAACTAGGAATGAGTTATCTGACTTGGTCAAAACAAAAACTGTGACAAATGCTCAAGCCATCTCGACACAAAAGGTATTACTTCGAACATCAAATGACCAAAAGCAATTATCTCCCTTCAGAATGTTTTGAATAAAGATTGCAGACAGCAACCAAGTAAAGTGGCCATCTGAAACTTGAACCCATATGGTATGGCAGTTCATAGCATATCCAAAAAGTTTTCTACAAAAATTAGCAATAAGCATACCTTATCCATCCCGTTTAGATGGATGCTCCAAACTTCTAGAAGACAAAATAGTGTTTCCACTGGAAGGTACCTGATCCAATAAAACACACTCATCAAGAGGAGCTAAGCATTACAGTAAAGGGTCCACCTCCATCAGTCGGTACTATTATGTCGCTGCCCCCAAAATTTTACAATCCCAAATTCCCCTTTGCTCCCATAGTAATTATAAGCTACAATGGATATTAATCAACAATACCCTACTAAATGCCGCTAGATAATCTAGAGCAATGAATCAGAAGCTTCGCATCCAAAAACCTGAAACCAACTCCCATCAACATACCTTATTGTATCCATCACCTGATCTATAAATCTTCTACTAGTTCCTGACTTCTCATTTGGTAGATTGGGTGCCTTCTGAGTGTGCAGGTCAGGGTTTACAGCCTCACAGAAAATATCCAAAAGTTGCACTTTACCATGTTTTCCAGCTTCATACAAGCACTGCATAATCACAACATACGAAATACATTATTCGATGGTATGGCTCTATAACTTAAGCAGAAAAAAAGGCCCTTTGCATGATATTATCCAAGTATTCATAAGTACAAAGGAAGTGATAATCCAGAATTCCACTGTCTCTAATTGCAAATGGTAACACATTTGTTGGTACCCATCAAGTTTAGATCACGAGTAAACCACATTTCGTTAGCTTTTATTTAGACATCACAAGGTCAATAGACAAATGAACTTGAAAATCTGAGTCTTAAAGAAAAAAAATAGCTGGGCAACTCTGTTTTCTAGAAACATAAGAAAGTTCTGGAGAACAAAGAAAACTTACCAAGAGAACTGAACTCCAATCTTTTTGAATATTCATAAGCTCAGACAACCCGTCAACCATATTGTCGCCAGACTTGGTTGAGTCCTTTTCCCTGCAATGGAAATTTTTAGACAAAGTATATTACTGGTGAAAATCTTTAAAGTCAGTATTGTACCTTGTGCATGACGGGAGACCAGATGCATATTTCCGCAATTCTTGGGGTAGTGCATTAAACTTATCATGCCAGAAGTTCTGTGGGATAAGACAGAAAGAAATAAATCCATGTCAATACAAGATATTAGTTTGTACCGAAAGATATGGAAACTTAAAAATATTTATTTTCCAGTTAGTGATAGAAGAACATAATTAGCTAACATTGAATTATGTTTGGAAGAAAATAAAACAGACCTCACGATCCTCTTCAAGCATTCCCATGCACAAGAAGCTCAGAGGTTCGACAGAGAAGTGCTTACTACAAGCAAGCTGCATAAAATTTGATTTAGTACTAGCATCCATCAAAAATAAGGGGAAAAACATAAATAACAACTTGTTAACATCAGTGAAAAGAGATTAAGATTAACATGAAGAACCAACCTTGAGAGCACTAATAAAAGATGTTATGGTCCCATCATGCTTGAAAAAGTAATTTCTAAGGAAAACTGCAACTTCATGACTGATACAGAATCCAGCACATGGTTTGACAAGGATAGCCTCAACAAGTGCGTTCATTCTATCAGAAGGAGACCCCAAGGTCAGCTTGCACGGCTCTAATCTTTGAAGATCTTCTGATGAGAGTAGTTTCCTTGGTGCGTCAAGGGTGGTTGCAATCCCCATCACAAAGAAGATGGGAATTTTAATCACCCACTCGCTGCAACAGATAGAATATTCAGGTTAAAATCATACCCAAGACTATAAATTTTATTAGGTGAAACTAAGGATATAAATGAAAGATAAAACCAGGTTCATTTTCTTAATTGTAAGAAGAATATCTTCTAAAAGAGGATTAAACAAGGGATTGGTGAGTTCCACACCAAAACAGAGAAAAAAATATCATACAACAAATTGGTATGCTTTTATGCTATCTCAGTTATAATGAAGCATGACAAGAAGGCTGAAGTAGAAGACTAGAAGGGGGATAGAAGGGGAAGTGTCATGATGGCAAGACAGAAGACATGGATGCTTATGAAAGTAAAATGCTGCTGTTTTGGCTCAAAAACCGGGGAGGGTTTATGAAACCGAGTTGTTATGTGTGATTTAGGAACTGTAATCTGAAAATGTAGCAGTTGCTCTCTAGTTTAGCTTCATGATTGCGTTCAAAATTTTAGCATCTTGAAACTTTTTAGCTGAAAATAGTGGGATCACGCTATCCAGGGCTAAAAGGTGGGGTCTGTTTTAGCCTTAATCTTGTAATCTGGATGGTGTGGTCACTGTTTTGCTTCTGATAATAGAAATGGGAGAGGATCCTTCCTCTCTTTCTAGAGAGAGAGAGAGAAGATAAAAACAAATACTCCCTGTGTTTCTTTTTGTATGACGTTGGCTAGTTAAAAAATGAACTAAACAACAAGAAATATTTCAGAACGGAGGGGCTATATGTTAAGCAACCATATTAAGGTATAGAACCGTGGTCAAAACAACTTTTATGTACTTCATGTTTGATGTAACCGCAGTTGTTTAAACCCATTGAATGCTATGAAACATAAATTTTACCTTAGCATCATCACAAGCTCTCCCAGGACATCACCAGAGCATTGCTCTAAATCATCAATTACGACGACTATAGGCTGATCATAGTTCTCAGCTGCAGAGTACCAAGATGCAAGTGCAAATATATCCGCTACCTATTCGAGTGACAAAACCAGAACAGACAACAAGTAAGGCTATGCACTCCAGTCTCAAACTCTCAAGTAAAGTACAGCTAAAAAAGACTTGAGAGCAGGCCATGTCACTCACATCTGGAACATCTGAAAGTAGCTGCCTCAACAAGCTCCTGAAGCAACAACCAACTCCATTTTTTTCCGATAATTCAGTCGCCGACAGCTTGGCCAGGTGACATCCATTGGACTCAAGATACTCTGCAAGATCCCGGAATGTCGTGATGTCGTCAACGAACTCCGCATTCTCTGCAAAATTAAGAAGCCCAAACCATCAAACCGAGCAATTCTTCGCCACACCTACCAACCAGCTGAACAAATTGATGGCGGATTCTCACTGGTGAGAACAAAAGCCGTCGGTATCTTCCTGCAGATCACATCGGTGAGGAGAGGGTATGGCTGCCGCACCTCGGCTGCGGAAGGTCTCGCAATGGAGCGGACTGCGGAGAAGGATTCCTGCACCCATCGCAGCACCTGGTCGAACAGCTTGAGGCTGATCCCCCGAAGAACCTCCTGCCCACACGAGCAATCGAAAATTGGATCAATCCCAAGATGAGAAATCGCACTCGTCAGATTCTGCAATTGCTGAGGAATTAAGCGAGTGAGTAGTAAACGAATCGATGGAATATGGGGGAATTGAGTTTGCACATTGATGGTGGACTGGATCTTGGACCAAACGCGGTGGAAGGCGTCGAGGCGGAGCCGCTCGTACAGCTCGTCGTCGTCGTCGTCCTCAGCGGCGTCGTCGTCGCGGGATCTCTTCCCGGGTTTGGGGTTGGGAGATGCCAGCCCGGAAACGTCGATCCGGCGGCGCGCCCGGCCGGACGACGGCAGCGAGGGAGCCGACGAGGAGGACGACGAGGCAGCGGCGCCGCCCTTGTGGAGGACATAGAACGGCTGCAAGGAGAACGGAAGTTAATCCCAGAGCAGCAGCGGCGCCCGCCGGCCGGCGAGAGGGGCAGCAACCGCCTGAGAGAGAGAGAGAGAGAGATGGAAACGCACCTCGATGTTGGTGGCGGCGGTGAGCGGAGCCTCACCGGGCGGCGCAGCCATTGTCGCGCTAACCACGGCGGCGGCGCGGGTGGTTCGGGGTGGCGATCTCCGACGGCGGGGAATGAGGCGGCGGCTGCGGCTGCGGCTGCGGCGGCGGGATTAGGGCAGTAGCGCGGAAGAGGGGGCTTCTTTTGGCGGGAAAGGCTCGCGCCAAAATGAAAACTGGGAAAAGGTAAAAAAAATTGAAAAAAAGAAAAATAAACCCGGATATGGTTCGGGGGTTTGAACCCGACGTGAATCGAACACGCAACCTTCTGATCTGGAGTCAGACGCGCTACCATTGCGCCACGGATCCGGCTGTGACAAATGGTAGGCAAGCTTGTATTCACTCATAAAAAAAAACCATATGCGCATATACATTTATCCGGATACGCTCTGGTGTCACATTCCCACTCACTCCTGTTTAGTTCCAAAACAAAAATTTTCACATATCACATTGAATATTTTGAATATTTCACACATGTATGAAATATTAAATATAGAAAAAAAACAATTACACAGATTACGTGTAAATTACGAGATGAATCTTTTAAGCCTAATTGCGCCATGATTTGAAAGTGTGGTGCTACAGGAAACATTTGGTAATGATGGATTAATTAGGCTTAATAAATTCGTCTCGCAGTTTCCTGATGGGATCTATAATTTGTTTTGTTATTAAACTATGTTTAATACTTTAAATGTGTGTCCATATATCCGATGTGACAACCAAACTGAAAAATTTTCCCCAACTAAACGAGGCCTTATATTAGGTTTTTATGGGACGGAGGAAGTACTAAAATGCAGCTACGTTTAAAATTTATAGAAGTACTAAAATACAACTACTTTAAAATTTAAAACTCAACTACTTTTAAAAGTTGAGTTCAACTAAAATGCAACTACATTCCTTTCATATTATAAGTCATTTTAACTTTTTTAAGTCAAACTTCTTTAGATTTGATAAACTTCTTTATAAAACAATATAGCATATTTAAAAAAATTAAACAAAAACAATCAACAATATTCAATGTCCAATGTAACAAAACTAATTTAGCGCTATAAGTGTTGTTACACTTTTTCTTTATAAATTTGTTCAAACTTTAAAAAAGTTTGCTTTTAAAACAGTCAAATCTACTTGTAACGCGAAATGGTTGGAGTAGCACTTAATTCGTTTCATATTATAAGGCGTTTTAATTTTTTTAATCAAACTTTTTAAGGTCTGACCAATTTTTTGAAAATTTTTAACAATATTTGCCACATCAAATTAGTTTCATTAAATAGAATATTGAATATATTTTAATAGTATATTTATTTTGTGTTAAAAACTTTTATATGTTTGGGTAAACTTAAAAACATTTGACTAGAACTAAAGTCAAAGCGACTTACAATATAAAACGAATGGAGTACGTAGGCCATGTTTAGATCACACCCCAAGATTTTTCACCCTATCACATCGAACGTTTAAACACTTGCATAAAGTATTAAATATAGGCTAAAAAATAACTAATTGCATAGATTGCGACTAATTTGTGAGACGAATCTTTTAAGCCTAATTGCTCCATATTTTGACAATGTGGTGCTACAGCAAACATTTACTAATGACGGATTAATCAGGCTTAATAAATTTGTTTCGCGATTTACTGACAGATTTTGTAATTAGTTTTTTTATTAGTACCCGAACACCTCATGCAACACCCTAAATAATACCCAATGTGGCACGTTAAAACCTTACACCCCTGGATATAAACACCCCCGTAGTAGCAAGTCTCATTGTATCCAGCAACTATCTCGTTTTTCTTTAGCACACTTCCCGAAGTATTAAACGATATATTTTGTACATATTTATATAAGTTTCTTTAAAAAATTAAACAAATCTATTTCTCAATTTTATAATAGTTAGTAGTTAATTAATTATATGCAAGTATGCTGAGAAAAGCTAACCATTTAGCTTCTAAATCGAACGCAACCTAAATGATAGCAGAAGCATCCATGTTCACACTTCAGAAAAATTCGCCAGATTTGCAAGCTCATTATTTGCCTTATGCTGCTTATGCATATACTTATTTGTATGTCTTATTAGTAATTAAAAATAATTTACAGATTACTAATAATAATTTACAAGTAAAACTTTTATATACACGTTAATAAAATACAGTGAAAACCCATATTATTAATTCTAAAATTAAGTTTTAAAATTTAAATTTTAGCTTATGCTCGTAAGTGGAAAGATGAGGCAGTTCTCTCTAATGCTTCGATCAAATAAAGCATTGAAAACCTTGTCTTTGAGTATGCGTACTTTCCGCATATCTATGGTATTTGTTCTTTTTATTTGTCTTAGATTGTGTTTTCTTAGTTTATGATCACACTAAGCAACGAACAGTTACTTCGAAATGCTCCTCTAGTTATAAATATGACAACATTTGATTAAACTTTCGAAACTTTCACCATAAATAGCGTTTTAGATATTTATTTTAATAATTATCTTCATAGATTTTTCCTGAAAAGTATTTTGGACTTAATTAGATTTTATGAGCCTACTCTAGTATAAATTTGATTGTCAAAGATTTTAAAACGTTTGGCTGAATCTTATTCTACCCATGTCAAATATTCCCTCCGTACTTATAAAAAAAGTCGTTTAGGATATTGTTTAAGTCAAACCTTGAGAATATAAATCATCAATAACTCTCAAGTTATTGAGTTTGAAAATGTAAAAATTATATTAATAGATTTGTCTTGAAAAATACTTTCATAAAAATATACATATATCACTTTTCAATAAATATTTTTATAGAAACAAAAAGTAAAAGTTGTGTTTTAGAGACCGTGTCGCTGTCCTAAACGACTTACTTTACGAGTACGGAGAGAGTATTTGTGAGTAAATAGAGAGCGAGATTTTCAGGCAAAATACGGGCAGAACGTTCCCAAAAACGTACAGTAGTCAGCAGTCTTCTGCATCTATGGCGGGATTGGTATGCATTAATTGAGAACTGAAAAATTAGGCATGAATTGGAATTTTTATTTCTCGTTGCAACATAATTTTCGTTTTGTCCTTGAACGGTTTAACCTACTCTCTCGGCATATTACACCAATCTCTACTATTATAAATATTGAAGATATTTTTGCTAGTACTTGGTACATCATCCGTGTATGAGTCAGTTTTTAAGTTTGTTCCTTTTGAAAATATAAATCCGTATTTGAGTCGGTTTTTAAATTCGTTCGCTTTTAGAAATATAGGAGGAATCATATAAAAAATCTCTTTAAAAAACTCGCATGCTAATTTAAAATGATCGGACTCCTAATTACGGCTCATGATTTTCTAAATAAATGATCCAAACGAGTTCTCATAGTAGATTTTAAAACATATAATAATAATAAGATTAAAATAGCATTTATCCGTTGCAACGCACGGGTATTTTTTTCTAGTCTAAATATATACTCACTCCATGTAAAAAAGCAACCTAGGAGGACCCTCCTAGTTGTCCAGATTTGTTCAATTAGAAGATATCACATTACTACCTTCTATGTTGTGTTTTTTTTTTTTTTGACCGAGGGACCTAATATAAGGGATCATTGTCACTTTAACAAAAATTAAGGTGGTGACCAGAAGACCCATATACCCCTCAAAAGGTAGAATGTACTACTCCAGTAATCAAAGTAAACTGCAAAAGGATACTTCAACTAACGGGATGTCAGACACATCTCCCGCAATGTTAGACATAACTCAAGCGTGGGACTTAGACCCTGTTTAAGTTCGCGAAAAGAAAAATTTTGGAACTCGCATCGGATGTTTGACCGGATATTAGAAGAGGTTTTTGGACACGAATAAAAAAATTAATTTTATAACTCGCCTGGAAACCGCGAGACGAATCTTTTGAGCCTAACTAAGCCGTCATTAACACATATAGGCAAATCATGGACTAATTATGCTCAAAAGATTCATCTCGCGATTTCCATACAAACTGTGCAATTAGTTTATTTAATACTCTTTGCATGTATCCAAAGATTCGATATGATGTTTTTGGGAAAAAAAATTTGGGAACTGAACCAGGCCTTAATTCAATCAATCAACTATAATGAACAAGTTGCAAGTGACTGTACCCTAATTTAATGGAGAAAATTATTTTTCAATCGTATGAATGATTTATCATCAGTTCAAATCATCATATTCGTCGTATATTTAACAATAAAATTATCGCAAAATTAAGATTTTAGGGTTTAAATCCTTAGCACTAATTTTATGTTTGGGTTATAAATGTCAAGTTTTGTTATTCTGTGATAATTTTTTATTAAATATGTAGTTTTATGATATTCCACTTTAAATTCATAGTTTTGTGATAAATTTAGTGTTAAATCTGTAGTTTTATGATACACCATGTTAAATATATAGCTTTATGATAATTTGGATAAATATATGTAGTTTTTACTCTTAATATAAGTATAGCCTTTTAAATTTTGATATAGGAGTACGTTAAAGAGAAAAAGTACAATATGCCACTCTTTTCGTGTGGTTTCAACAAAATGCCACCCATTAGAATAGCAAGGATAAAATGCCACTCAATAGGTTATCTTTAGGTTATTTTGCCACTTTGAGGAGTTTTAAGACTGCAATACCCTTGCTATGGATAGAGAGGAAGGGAGAGGGAAGCGCCGGGGAGAAGGCCGAGCTGGTGCTCGCCGGCGGCGGGCGGCGAGCGCGCGGGGGTGGACTGCAATGGGCGGCGCTGAGGAGGAGGACAATAGGGCGACGAGGTGGAGGCGGGTGGCGGCGGAGACGACACATCAGAGGGAGAGGAGGCGACGATGTGTAGGGCACTAGGGCGGCGTCGACGGTGGGAGGAGGACGGCGGCGCTTGCAGCTCGCCGCGCGTGTGCGCACTCGCTGCCTCCGATGACGACGGGGGAGGAGGACAGAGTAGGTAATACCTCCATCTACCTCGTCGCCCATCTTCCTCCCAGCGTAGCGCCACCGTCCTCCTTCCCCGTCGCCGCTAGCCGCCCTCCCCGCGTGCTCGCAGCCCGCAACCGCGCTCCCCTGCTCGCGACCGCCGCCGGTGAGCACCAGCTGCCGCTCCCCTCTCTCTCCCTTCCTCTCTATCAACAATAGGGGCATTATGGTCTTAAAACTCCTTAATGTGGTAAAATATCTCAAAGCAACCTATTAAGTAGTATTTTATCCTTACCATTCTAATGGGTGGCATGTTGAAACCCACTAAAAGTGGCATATTGTTCTTTTTCTCGTATGTTAAATTGGTTAAGGACATGGTTTTATAAAACGTAAGAACCATAAAAACTAGGGTTATATATCTCTTGCCAAAATCCCGATGGTTTTGGGTGACCTGGTCCATAATAGATAGGGTTTTACGAAAATTACATTTTATTTCATTATACTAAAATCTATAATTAGACATAAAAAGAACTAGTTCGAGTCAGGCTCGCCCCATCCGCACCCAACCACAAACATCTCACGGAACGCCGGCATCTTGTCGGCGGCGATCGCCACCGACGCCTGGACCGACCCAGCCTCCCTCCCGGCGACGAGCACCACCTCCCCGTCGTGGTTCATGGACGCCAGCTCCGCCCTCGCCGCCGGCCTGCCCAAGCCGAACTCCACCGCGTACGCCGGGAACCACGGCGACCCGGCCATGATCATCGCGCGCCCGGGCGGGATGCGCGCGAACTTGTCGTGCCACCGCGCGCGGTCGCCGAGCGGGTCGCGCCTCGCGGCGTCGACGGCGCCCCCGACGGCCGCGGCCGCCCGCGCGTGCGCGTGCGCGTCCGCCCCGGCGGCGAGCTCCGCCCCTTCCAGCGACGCCGCGCACACCGCGACGCAGTTGCCGGCGTAGGCGCCGGGCGCCGGCGGCGACATGAGCGCGCGGGCGTCCGCGAGGAAGACGGCGAACACGGGGCCGCCGCCGTCGTCGGCGAGGCCGCTGGCGCGCGCGATGGAGACCCACCCGTGCGCCGCCATGGCCGCGAACGTGGACGGCGTCTTGCCGCCGCCGACGGTGGCGCGCTGCTTCAGGAGCTTCACCGCCGGCGCGGCGAACGTGAACGTTCGCCGGCTGAGAGGGCATTGGCGCAGGGGCGCGTGAACGATCTGCAGGAGATTGTCAGTGACACTCTCAAATATGCTTATCAAATTGACATTGTAAGTTTGTAATTACTTTCTCTCTGTTTCACAATGTAAGTCATTCTAGTATTTCCTATATTCATATTAATATTAATGAATCTAAATAGATATATATGTCTAGATTCATTAATATCAATATGAATGTGGGAAATGCTAGAATGACTTACATTGTGAAACGGGGGGAGTAAGAAACTTCACAGTTTACTCATTGAACTTAAAAAATGCTAATTTTCATGACGAAATGCTCCATTTTCGTTTTTAAGATTGACTATTCCAAATTCATAATCACTAGATCCTCAAATGCAGAAATCACCAGATTTATGTGTAATTTTTTAGGCACTTTTGTAATATATCTTAGTCGTTGCAGAGGTCAAAAGTCACGATACATTTTCTTTTCTTTTTTACAAAAGATGTAACTGAGGCATCTCCATCTCCATGATCAAAGATAATCAAGCCCGTCCTTTTCAATTTTCATAGCATTACGAAGAATTCGATCTGAAGCCAATACAGATGTCATACGCTCTATTGGCACTGATTCAAATTAACATCTCACCTCCGAATTTTCAAATCTTGCAAAATCATAGTAGCAAAAGAAGGGGCAACCAACATCTCGGCTTATGGCTGACGATGAATCAAGAGTAACACACGAAGAATTTCAGGATAGTTTTGAATGGAAGAACATGAACTCCAGAGTAATCAGAACTACAGTTTCCCATATTTTTGTTCTGAACTTTTTGTCAGAATTTTTAACAGAATTCATTGATTACAAATGGAACCATGTCAAATACCGAAGGTGTCCAAATTTTTCTACGAGAGAATGTTAACTACTTGACTCCTCATTGCGCATGCTGAATTGCTAATACTACTGTAATTATTATTTGAATTTGTCATGGTATATCAATTTCATTTCGATTTCTTTGGTCATGATGGCTAATTAAGCTAGAGCATGGTGGGAACAGAACAGAGCGAGCTCACCTTGGGCAAGTCCGGCGCGATCTGCCGCAAGAACAGCCGGGCCAGCTCGCCGTCGCCGTCGAACCGCACCAGCGTCCGGTCGTGGAGCGGCGGTGGGAGGGCCTCCCTGACACTGGTGGCCACGGCCGCTGCGGCGGCGGCGGACCACATCTCCAAGAATCGCCAGAGGCCGCGGCCGTCCGCCGCCGCGTGGTGCATGGCCACCCCGACCGCCACGCCCCCGCCACCGCCGACGAACTCCGTCACCTGCGCCGCCATGACGGGCGCGGGGAGCTCGTCGCGGCGGATGTCCGGGACGAGCTGCCGCAGCGCGTCCTCGTCGTGCTCCTCCCCTTCGTCGACGAGCCTCCCGAGGTCGAGGTCCGTCTCGGCCTCCACGAACGCCACGCCGCCACCGGCCTCCACGACAATGGACAGCGATTCCTCCTCCGGCGAGTAGACCAGCGCGCCGGCGAAGGGGTAGAACGCCGGGAGCACCGCCTCGAGGGAGTCCCTGAGCGCGCGTACGACGTCTCCGAACGGCGGCGGGGACGGGAAGAGGAAGACGCGGCGGACGGGCGGCAGCGCGACCCAGTACGCGTCGAACGGGGAGAGCGGCACGCGGCGACAGCCGCCGCCATCTCCGTGCGTCGGGAGCGCGACGGAGGTGACGCTCCTCGTGCGCACCGACGGCGGCGGCGGCGGCGGCATCTCGGGGACGGCGAACTCCTCCACCGTGTTCCGAATTTCGCCAAAGCTTGTGGGGTGGTTTGACCACCAAGCGGGGTGGCGCTGACCACCGCCCCCTCGACGGGAGAAAGTTCGGACCGACAAATAGTGGGCCAAATAGGCCCAGAAGTTCTATCCAGGCCCAATACAGATCGAATAATGGGCCAATAATGGTTTATGCAATGTAGTTGAGGCCCAATACGCATCGAACAAAAGCTGGATGAAAAATTTGGATATTCGTGCACGTTTTTTAAACGTTTCGAGCGGAAACTTCCTATATGATAGTCGCTCTAAAATATCAGATAAATATATTTTTTAAGTTTGTAATAATTAAATCTTAATTAATAATATGTTAATACCATCTTGTTTTATGTAAAACACTTAATTTTATCTTCATAACTATATGAGTTTCAAACGCCATCGCAATGTGATGAAACAATATAGGATTACTGCTATTTACTATGGGCTTCAATTGAGAATATTAGGGACAATTACTAAAAAAATAAAAAAAATCAAAATAATCGACTGAGCTATTTTATCGAGTGGGATCACCCAAGTGGTCTGCTACTACGTTTCGTTTTTGTAATTGTCATTCTTTTATGTGTTTAATGTTGAAAGAAATATTCTATAATGTGTCTGGCAGAAGGATCTCTTGGGTGCTTTTTAGTAGGACTCAGGTCTTAATCACTATTTCATTTTTTTAATCCTTTCGAATTGTTTACCCACATTTTAATCCATGTGCCTTTGAAATTTCCAAATTTTTATGATGGTTGCTTAGGACTTGATCTCGGAAAGGGAGGCGAAAGAATGCAGCAAAGCCATCAATTACCATCTTCAATGACTTGGGCGAAAGAAGGGCTTATTTTCAATGATACAAACTCATCCATTTATTATCTTTGTTACCTTGTCTTTATACCTGCGAGACATTCCATTCCTTTTCTTCGGTAACTTTGATGAAATGTAGTACGATGTCAATGACGAAATTTGTGATAATCTTTATATGCATTTTAACACAATATCGATATGGTTTTTTACTGCCAATTTGGTGGATTTCTACCTGCTACGTCACTTGTATTACTGCTTATCAATTTCTGGTTTTGGTGGCTAGCAGTGTTGCCATAGCGTTAGCACACACATATTACTAATTGTTCCTAATTTAGAAAGCTAAGTTCAAGAAAACCCAAAATCAGAGAAAACCCTAAATCCCCTCCCCCTCCCGTGCGGATCCGTCCGCCGCTCCACCCCCCATGCACGCAGATCCGCCAGCGGCGGCTACGGAAGGGGCAGATCTGGCGTCCCTCCCCCTCCCGCATGGATCCCTCTACCTCTCTGGCCCCTACACGCAAGGATCAGCCGCCGGCGGTGACGGGAGGGCCAGATCCAGCGCCCCATTCCCCTCCCATGTGGATCTCGCCGCCTCTCCATCTCGCGCAGCGCGAGGATCCACCGGCTGGTTTGAGTAACGAGGACAAGGATGATGACGATGATGGCAGGTGGCGATGGCGGAGCTCGAGGGTGGTGGATCCGGTGGCATCGCTATCGGGATGTGCGGATCTGCCATCCCCGACCCTCGGTCCTTGTTGACAGCTGCTACGGCAACGACGACCCGCCTTGGGGAGCTAGGGTTTTGGCCAGCAGTGGGCTAGGGTTTTGGCTAATTTTTTTCTTGAATTTTTATATATTTCACCGAAATTATTTTTCCACGCAGTCGGTATATGTGACTGGATGCGAAAATGAGATTCGCATGCGGTTGTGCTGGCCGCATGGAAAAATATGACTTTCGCAGACACCTGGGTGCATGCGGGCTGCCTAGCCACCTGTGAAAATCGATTTGGCCGTATGCAAAAATTAATTATGTAGTAGCGATATTTGATCTTGCCGAAATATCTAAGTAGATAATTTCCTCAACAAGATTATCACAACTTTTTTGTGAGATGGTTGAATTTTTATTTCCGGGAGGCAAAAGAAGGGACAACTACTCTCGTCAATTTTATTCCTAATTGCCTACCATCCATCATCACAATTCATGCCTCTCACATTCTAGCAAAGCACATTTCAATTTCTCCCATTACTCATTTAAGCAACCAGAAAGAAGCAGTAAGCATAATATAGCCATATAGTCTAGTAGCATAAAACATTACAACCATTAAAAGGTTTTATGTTTCATCCCTATAGCACAAAAACAAACTAAAAAGCCCGACACAGAAAACAAGAACAACAAAATATAACAAATATCATCATGTTAATCATTCTAAATTAAATAGTGTTGCATGGATTGAAGAGTGATAAATATGGTAACTTCTTCATCACCTCCATGGTCACCTCCTCCAAGGAAGAACCATGCACACGTCAACCCCTATCACGTGCAAACAATATTCCTAAAAATAGTTTCCTTATCTATGAAAAATGAAGAGCATATGCCGTGCACAATGGGATAATTTGGACAATACCACCACACAGATAAGTTAGTTGCAAAATACAATCCTATATATGTGAGACCCGTGTGTCAACCATAACACACAATGGTATTTTCCAACTCTGTGATTTTTGCGATCGTATTAAATAAATTGGCTTGTGCACAATTTAGTTGGTCAGAATATAAAACACATCATATAAACTTTAACAAATTCATTCCTTGCTTCTAAAACAGAAAAAAAAACTAAAATATGCCCAAAAGCTAACAAACTCTAGAAATAGATGCGACCATGAGTGATCATTTTTAATAAAACTAAATGGCCAATAAGTATATATAATACATATAAATGTATCAAGTGAAAAAACTGTACCTAGCTTGAAAGCCTGTAAGTGACCAATATAGTTGTGTTGCTAATTTTATATTTCAATTGCTTCAAGTAAGTTCTTCATATGGTTTTTTTGGACAATTCTAAAAGTCATATGTAACTCAAGCTGAAAAGTAATATACCATGTGGTATGCGTATGTTAATACTACCATCAGACTAGTTCAATAGAAACCGAAAATTTAGATGCGAACTCTATTTCATTCTTTATCTGGATTTATTTCAACTTGGTGACTAGAAAAAGTGAGGATGGAAGCTAGATGTGGTTGGGCCAGAGTCTTGTGTGTACATGCAGGCGAGATCATGGGAATATGTGTCATATGGATTAACTAATTTGCATGGTTTGAAGAAGACATGCTTTATTAGCCATGGTAAGACATGGCTCTACCAGCTTCATCTGACAAGATACATATTTTGCTGCTATATTGTAACTATTGTCGAATTTGTCTACAATGAATCATAAAGACACCAATATAATTATGATGATACTGTTGATGGCAGTTAAATACCAAATTTACACCGTCAATACATGCATAATTTTGAAAATATAAAACATCCAATATAGTGGTAGGTTTTAATTTTAACAATTTCCACGAGTGTTGGTATATATTTGGATACAGGTGACAAACAACCAAAGTTGAGATGAAATATACATAAAGGAGGGTGTCGACGGGGGATACTCGTAAACTAGATGATGAGGGTACTAGGGTACGTTGGTACGAGGATTTACACGATTTGACATCAAGCAAACAAGGAGACAAGGATTATACTGGTTCAAGCCCCTCGTAAGGTAATAGCTCTAATCCGGTTTATGTGGGATTATAGAGAAAACCACAGAGTGCAGAGAAGACAACGGATCTCCGAGATTACCGACGAGATCCTTGTCAAGAGGGGCTTGATGAGATCTTTCGGCGAATAGGCTTCAAGTCCTCCGGATTGCTTATGTGGTGGTGGGTGTCTTGCCCTTAGGATTCGATGCCCTGAACCCCTCAGGGGGTGTGTATTTATACCGCAGGTCAGCTTTATCTCCAAGTAGAACTCGGAGACATCGGACCCTGCACGATACAATACCATGTTTCTCTTATCTGAGTAGGACACATATATAGCCCTACTCATAAAGGATATTTACCATACCGATTTGCTGATTTCCTTACTTTACACTTGTCCTTTCCATATATCACGATATATACCGTATTCGTATATCTCATAACTCCTAGGATAGAGGGTATGCCTTATCCGTGGGGACGGCTGATTAGCGACTGACCGCGCGCCTACAGCCGCGCGCGGTCAGTCCAGCCCCTTATGTCTCGTTGTACTACTACTAGTATACTATCCTTCCTCTTTATACTGCTATACTAGTATTTTATACTACTACTAGTACTATACTATGTGTATGTGTGTGTATATATATACATACATAAAAAAAGTTTGTATTAGCACGTATACAAATTTTGTATACACGCGTATACAAACTTTGTATACACGCATATAACAACTTTGTATACGTGTATACAAACTTTATATACGCGTGTATACAAAGTTTGTATAAGTGTATACAAAGTTTGTATATGTACATATAACAACCCAAAAAATACACGTATACAAAGTTTGTATACGTGTATATAAAGTTTGTATATGTACATATATAAAGTTTGCATACATATGTATTAGAAAAATTGAAAAAGATACGGAAAGAAAAAACAGAAAAAAAAAAGAAACCGTAAACTGAAAATATACGGAAGGAAAAACAGAAAAAAAAAAGGAAACGTACGCCAAAAAAAACGCGCCGTCCGCCGCCCTCCTCTCCACGCGCGACACGTGTCCAGTCGCACGCGGGAGGGGGCGCGCGACTGAGCGCGTATTAGCAGTTTCGCTTATCCGTAACCCTGACAGAGGGGAAGAATTACATTAATATCCAAGCCCATGAAGTCTTGGGCCCACAAATCCAACGAAATACTAGAAAATGGGCCCAACCACCATGTGACTGGGCCAAGGACTTACCTACCAGGGCCTAGGAGAAAGCCTAGGGCCAGAAGGGCCAGCTAGCGGTTGGGTCGGCCAACCCAGAGACAGCCCACCTGGCCCTCAATATTTATAGGTCAGTAGTTATCGACTATCCAAGGCGGTTGTGAACATTTCTATCGGAATAAACCACCATGGTGCAATGGCAGATCCATAGGGTGGTCCGGGTGGTCCCTGGACCACCCAAAAATCGGCGATCGACCCTAATATTAAAAATAGAAAGAGAGAAAATAGCGATCCCGCCCGGTGCCGGAGCGCGCACGCGCTTGGATCG